GTATACAGGTGAAACTCGAATAATTAGAATATTGTGCAAAAGTAATGGCAGTAATTGCTGCAAAAGGGGCCCAAACCAAGTACATATGCATGCTTGTACTTTTCAGAGGTCCGATATTGTTCTATGTACAATCCTTGTTTTATTGATTGCATGTAATATTCTCATTTTTTAAGGTTGTGGATTTGGGGTTCTTGGGGTTTTCATGAGCTGCAAGCCATAATCATCACAATTATGACAAATCACGGCTTGAACTATCTTGCTTTGCATGTAATAAATCTATCTCATATATTAGTTTCATCTTTTAAGTTGCATTAATGAAATAAATGAACTTTGCATGATATTCTAATTATTCGAGTTTCACCTGTACGTGTGTTGCTGTCCATTCCAAATGGCACCCCAACACACGTACACTAAAAACAAATGCTCTGCACTGCAGAGTACCGCAACACATAGGTGGGAATGCACAATGCTTTGTGGTGCGCTGCATCAAAGTGAATGGGCTTCTTTCATTCAAAGTGCGTCATGCACTAAACTGTGAATTGGCCCTAATAAAGGAGGACAGTGGCCATTCACTGGTTTTCTGATCAGGGTGGCTTTGGGGGCATCATTGGACTTGCAAAGCAACATTGGAAGATTTTCCATTTCATTATGTTTTACTAGTTTTAGAAGAAGAGTTTCTTAAAGGCAGTCCCGCATGGCAAAATTAGAGTCTCATCTGCACGAGGCAGTGTTGGCAAATTGTCCCTTTCAGCTTCACTGAGCCTTGTATGATACCAAAGCTAGCTAGTTGACTGGGGTAGGAGTAAAGGGAAGTGGTTCAAGGCAGTGGGCCTAGAGGGCCACAATGATGAATCAATGCCATTTAGTGTCCATTATCTAATATCAGACAGTAAAAGCTCAGAATCCAGTGATGCTTATCTAGAACTTTGAAGAAATAAATATCTACAGCGGTTCTAAACCTTCGACTCTCTAGCTATGTATTTTTCATCGCTGATTGTGTCATCATTTGGGAGATTTTCACATATTGCTTGTCCTGAGGGGGCAGGAAGTAAGAGGACATTTGCCAAATGGGGAAGCTGAGAGGTTCCAATTTTGAATTCTTTTCAAACTTTAACATACAGTATTTCTAAAGCCAAAATGCATGTGCTTACTGAAATGTAGTTTCCCTTTAATTGACTTTTAGTTTCCTATTCTGGAGCTGAATTCCTGCTGAATATAAATGCATTTTTTTACATTGGCTTCACCTGTAGGGTTACTAAAACAACCCTGACTGTCCACAAACAGTGGAAAGTATGTCTGCAGTACCATGTATGTTTGTGTCAGACACGAGATTAATGACTTTTCTCCGCTGCCGAATGGAATGTCTAAGGAAAACCATTTGAAATAGAGTGGAAGGAAAAATAAAGATTACCCAGAGCGTGGTCCAAATTTCCGAACTCAATGTCTCTGTTATTAGAGAGAGAGCTAACGGGACATAACTCACCCCTGCCACCTAGAAACACAGCCGAAAAAAATGTGAATTTCGCACTTATTGGGGATTTTTCCCTCCTGAACATTTTTTCCTCTCTGGTGTAAAAGTGTTTTGTATCTCGGTGGAATGTGGTGTCGCGTACACTTGTCTAGGCCAGTGCTTCTTGCTTTTTTTTTTAAAGGAAACCTTTCGATAAAACACAAAATGGTAATGCTACTGTTTTAAAAAGAAAACACAAATTTGACTGTGATTACAGGAAGACCTTTGGTGCTATCTCCAAGTGTCCCCCTGATGTAATAACTTGGGTCCCTCCTTGGCCTCCAACATGAAGGAAGGAGGACGACTTTGAGTAGCTACAAGGGCTCATGAATCAATAAGCAGTCCTATCCAGCCTGTCTATGAGACCTCTCTGGCCTATCTATAAACGCACTTGAGTCTGTCTATGAGCCCTGTTTGTGAGCCCAGCCAAGTCTGCGTAAGAGATGCGTCTGCCTGTCTATGATCCCTGTCCAGCCTATGAGCCCTGCCTAGCCTGTCTATAAGCCCTGTCCAGCCTGTCTATGAGCCCAGTCCAGCCTGTGTGACAGCCCTGTCCAGCATGTCTATGAGCCCTATTTAGCCTATGAGCCCTGTCCAGTTTGTCTTTGAGCCTTGTCCAGCCTGTCTGTGAGCCCCGTCCAGCCTGTCTATGAGCCCAGTCCAGCCTGTGTGACAGCCCTGTCCAGCATGTCTATGAGCCCTATTTAGCCTATGAGTCTTGAAACCCCTTTTTTATTTTTTTGCTGCCAGAGTCTGTGAGCCCCATCCAGCCTGTTTATGAGCCCTCTCCAGCCTGTTTATGAGCGCTGTTCAGCCTGTTTATGAGCCCTGTCCATCCTGTTTATGAGCCCTGTCCAATTTGTCTTTGAGCTCCATCTGGCCTTTCTATGAGTCATATTCAAACTGTCTATGAGCCTTGTCCAGCCTGTCTATGAGTCCTGCCCAGCTTGTCTGTTAGCCATCACTGCCTGGCTATGACCACTGTCAAGCCTATCTATAAGTCCTGTCCAGATTGTCTATTAACTATGAGCCTTGTCTAGCTTGTCGGTTAGCCCTCTCTGCCTGTCTATGAGCCCTGTCCGGCCTGGCTATGAGTCTTGTGCAGCCTGTCTTTAATCCCTATGTAGCTTTTCCATGAGTCTCGCCCAGCCTGTCTATCAGTCCTGTCCAGTTTATTTATGAGCCCTGTCCAGTTTGTCTATTAGCCTATTAGTGCCTGTCCATGAGCCCTGACTGGCCTGGCTATGAGCCCAGTCTAGCCTTCCTATTAACCCTCTCCAGCCTGTTTTTCAGCATCTATGAACACCGCTGCAATTGTCTCCCACAATCTAACTTCCATACTGCTGCCATATTAATGCACATGTACTTTGAGATGAGACAAAATGTCAGATGTTAGAGGCAGTGGAGGTAGTGCTTGACAATATCCATCCAAAATACTCTAAAACATTTGTAATTTAAAAAAGGTCAGCAATTGTGTTGCCCATTGTAATATTTTGAAATCACTCTAATATTTTGTTTTAGCATCAAACAATAGGCTACAAATGAATCGTGTGGGTAACACAGGGACAGATCTTTTATAGTAACAAAAGTTCTAGAGTATACTGGATGGACTATGGCAAGCCCCCCTCCACTGCCTTTAACATCTGACTGGCTAAATGACAGATATTTTATGTAAGTTAAAGGTGTTTCCTTATTGCTAAACCTATATACAGGGCCGGATTTACTTATCTGTTGCCCCAATGCCAGGCTCCTTAATTTTTACCAGAGATCAGCACGAACACAAGACAAAGCAATATGTCATTATGGGTGGGGACAGTTCACACCACTACATTGCGCTCGTGTGTGCTTAAAAAAAGTATGGTATGCAGTACTTTTTTTTTTAAGTGCACCACAGTGAGACACGGACAACCGCATCGCACTGCGGCAGTGACGACTCTAGGAACAATATAAGGGAGCGCCCCCCCCTCCCTGCAATACCAGGCCACATGCCCTTGGCACTGGGAGGTTGCTTTTCCAGGGTCGCCTGTGGAAAAGCACCTTGTCCCTGTACCAATGGGGGCAAGGGCCTCTTCGCCACAACCCTGGTCCGGTGGTTGTGAGGGTCGGCAGGCAGGGGGGCTTATCTGCATCTGGGTACCCCGTTCATAAAGGGAGCACCCAAATGCTGCCCATCCTCTTGAGAATGAGTAATGGGTTCTTGTACCCCTACTCATTCACTAAAGGGTGTAAATAAACACACCACACCTTTGAAAAAATTCCTTTAATTGAACAAAAACCACAAAACACAAGTTTTTGACAATTCCTTTATTTAAAACAAAAATAAAAAATCCCACAAAGTCTTGAAACCCCTTTTTTATTTTTTGAGTTTTTTTTTTACATCTGGTCCCCCCTAACATTCCTACCAGAATTGGGGGGCTCTTGTTTTATTATTATTATTTCTGTGAACAGTTAAACACTTTGGTGTATTCTGTGACAGCTGTCAGATTGTTTACATTGGGGATTGGAGTGTCCACAAAGAAGCAGAAGCTGTTACAGAAATAGTAACATGGATCTCTCAACTTCTTTATCTACATTTTGTAACAATATTCTGTTACTTTGTATTCATTCGGGATACAAGTCAGAGAATCCAGAGAGCGGTAAATGACGCCTCTCCCGCTTGTTGTGTTTTGTTTCCGAATGAAATTCGTATCTATCCAAATTTCGTTATCAAACATTCGTATATGTTCGGATTTGTTATTTCTGTCACTCGGAAATTCAGATGCATCCAAATGTACGAATTTACAGAAATTCGTACAAATTTCAATTCAGAACGAAACAAATCACACATGTCTATCAAGAAGTGCCTTCATTTTGGCCGAGGAAATCAAGACAAAAACCATTTGTCTATTTTAGTATATAAGCATTTTTCAGAGTACTATTTAGGCACTCAAAACATTTCAGGTTCCTTATGACCTAGCAAATGTTCCCTTTTTGTGTTCTGTCCCATTTAAACAATTGTGGACATATGGTATCAGCCACACGGGGAGTGAATTGTTTTTAGTTATTCAGCACAGACTTGCATTGTGAGAAGGAGCTCTGAAGCGCAACCGCTGTGCAGCACGGCAGACCAGGAAGCAAATGCTTACAAATTATACATAGAATTAAAGATTGAAAAAATTATTATTGATAAGATTGTTTACATCAAGCAGATGTCTTATGCATGCCAAAAAACAACAACTTTCAAGTGGCTACACATTCCCTTTTAGAGCTCAGCCCCTTAGGCAACTACCTCACTTGAGTTAAGCCAGCTGCATATTTGTACAGTATGCTGAGTCACCAGTCTTCTGTTTCGCTAATAGAATCAGCCTTCAAACGCATTTCTTGAATTGTGTGAATACTTTTTTTTGGTAACTTTTAGATGCGGAAACCTCATGATTTTCCTATGCTGTGTATACATTGGTGTTAACTTTCTCCAACCCCAACATTTGACTCTTTACTTTCTTCTTTACAGTCAAGCCATGTATTTAGTGATGATGATCGCAACACCATGAACGCTGCATCCAATAGAGAGTACTGTTACTCGGTCACATGATGTGATGACCGTGGATGGCAAAGGTAAGAAACAGCTCGTGCTTTACTTCCATAGATATCAGCTGGCTGTAATCTCCAGGAAGAGTCGGGGATATGGCCCTAGAAATATCCCTTATTTTTAGAACTGACCTACTGTATAATGAATACCATCAGAATGAATACCATCAGAATGAGTACCATCATTATACATAAAAGAATACATTCTTGGAATTTGTTAGTGTCTTTGCTATTTATAACCCAATTGAACTTCCAGTTTAAATCAGCTAAATAGTCTCCAGGTGCATTCAAACAAAAGTTGAGGAAAGTCTTAAAGGCTAAGTTTACCTATTGTACCATGTTTCATGTTATACCCATATTCAGGGTGAAACATGGCACAATGTCTCATCGCCACCCCACCACTTACCTGAACTGGGGGGTTCTGTTTAATCTGACCAGTAATGCTTTAAGCAGATGGAGAAGGGATGATGCAGAGCATGAGATTCAGCAAGCAAACCAAGTCATCACACATGATAAATAACTGTGCCAAAAGTACAGTTATCCTTTAGGTTGGATTCACACCTATTAACATGCGTTACCACAATGCACTGCAAGGCACTACTGTAGTGCATTCTGAATGGTCCGCCAGCCTACATATACAGTGTCAATCAATGCACCTGCACTTTATTTCACGGTAAAGCATGTATGTAAATGTAAATGCATTACAATGCATTGCGTTGCCCTAAAGAAGGTACTTTTTTGTGCATCGAATTTTGCTAAGTGCACAATTAAAGTTCCTGGCTGCATTAAAGTGTATTGAGAAACTACACTTGCAGTGGGGCTACCCGCTCACTGCAAGGGTTAACTGCTCGTTTTTGAGTGGGGTATGGTCAGGAGGGCTTTTGCTTACTTTATCCCCACTCCCCCAGTGGTCGGTGCTTACCTTTCTTTTCCTCCAGTCCGTCTCCTGGACTGCCCCTTGGTGTCCTCGCCTCTAATGCAGGGCTATGTACCCTACATTAGAAGTGATGACATCAGCGGGCCTCCAACTGCTGGAGTGAAGGGGGTAAGAGGCTCCAGGTGCTGGTCCTGGAGCCTGGAGCAGAGACTCAGGTAAGAAAAAATGCTTTACCAAGGTCCCATGGACAAAAAACAAGCAGTTATCCTTTGCAGTGCAGGATGCAAGGGTAGTTTTTTTTCTAATGGAGACAGGCTTTTAAGTGACCCAGTAGCTATACCAAAACTCATAATAGCAACAGCACTTTTGAGTGGACAGGCAATTCAAGGCATGCTTGCCACTTGTCAAGAATGAGTCAACTTTAAAGAGACCCTGTCACCAACTTAAAAGAATTGAAGTTGAAAGCACAGAAAAATCAAGTATTTTCATTATAAATTCCTTTGAAAACTGGCGCAGGGAAGTATTTGACTTTCCGAATGCTGCAGAGGCAACACTTGTACCCCAGACCTTACCACAATCTGATATGCAAATTTGCAATGCAAAAACAGATCCCATGTGCTTACTTCTAAATCGTAGGTTTTATTCTCAAGAACATCTAGAGTGGTGAAACTAGAAATCCTATCATGCATCTGCCTCTGGGAGTCATGCCTGTGGCTGCCAGAGTCTTGCAAAGCCTCATGGGAGTTGTAGTTGCATCACAGCTGGAGTGCCGAAGTTTGCCTCCTCTTCTGGGAGTTTCCAATTACTCTATGTGCTGGCCTAGCTCCTGCACCCTTCCCATCCCCTCTCTATATAACCTTTTATGTAGCTACTAAGGGAGGAGCGAAGGGGAATACTATAGGGTGACATGTATGTGACAGCTTTGAGTCTGCTGTGACTGAGGATAACAAGATCTCAGCCCCAGGGAGACTTTTACAGGTAAATAACATGCATAAAATTCGTTAAATGGATATGTAATCTAATGGGAGGAATTTTGGTTAAATTAATGGTCTGGTGACAGGGTCTCTTTAATGGAGCCCAAATGGCAGCAAAAGTCCTTTTATACTCTATCCAAAACTAACAAAAACAAAATGTTGGATAGACATACACTTAATTGCATTTTAAGATATAACTGATGTGTGTGTACCCAGATTGTAGCCAGAGGACCACACTAGATGTGTTGTGTTTATTATAGTGCCTGCAGCATCTAGAATGTTGTCAGATGCACCACAACAGATGTGTTCTGCCTGCTGTGACCATGGCATACATTAATGAAGGCTCACGTTGCATTAAACCCATCAGTGTTTGACGAGTAGGGAATGCAGCCCGCTAGACGGAAATACATTCTCTGCAAACAGTATGTACATAGAGTTCTTTATAACACTGGTTGGATAGTGGATTTACCTTGAGTGTTCTTTATTGTCCAGTAGTATCTGCTTGAATGTCAGCGGATGTCTGTACACACTGAAACTCCTTTGTCTTTTAATGCCCAGATAGGAGGACAACATTGAGATAAGATAGACTAGTCATGCGGTAATAATGTTATTGGTCTGCGTGGCATTCCTCCTTGCTCTGGAAAAAAAATAAAGGGAATTTTATGAAGACTGGTCAAAGGCACCTGATATTAGTAACATCTGAGCGTTTGTTGACGTTTTCTTCTGAAAATGCTGGTTGATTGACATGCTAACGCAGTTGGCTGGATTGGGCTGGCATGGCAATCCTGCTGCTTCAAAAATTTTTGAGCTGCTGACAACAACAATAGAAAAAAGAAGAGCTGTAATATGTAATAAATCCTTATCTGCATTATTGGTTTTATAACAAGAAGGAAGGTGAGAATAACATACAGGCTACTCGCATTTTTGGAAGCAGGACAGGTTTCTTTTAAAGCCTTCCATAGATCTTAGAGAGCAGTTATAGGCGCATGCTCGGTAAGAGTGTTCTCGAGCACCTTAATCGCCCTGTGGACACAATAATTGCAAAAATTGCTTGGCAGAAATGGCTGGATTAAGCAACTTTCATTCCTTGTGTATGAGTGGTAATAAAGGTCTCCACTATTAAGAATCGTTATGGTCACCTGCAAAATGGCTGCTATCACTTGCCGAGATTACTATTGAAAGAGACAGCTGAGAGGAATCACGAGACTCAAGTATCAACAGCCATGGATGCTTTTCTTTTATCTATACAGACTGGTGAATGACAGACTGTGCAGCCAGTACTTCATATGATGGCCAATGGTAGTTCTTCATCCAGTAGGGCGTTCTGGTTTTTATTTTCCCAGTAATAATAATCATGTCACATGGTTGAAGTTGATAAGAGTTGGAGCCTGTAATGGGCAATAAGCATCCTAGTATGCATGCAATTTATGTCCAACACTTTTGATTTGCTGAACAATTGCTTTGCAAAATGTCCATTCTGGTGGTAGTTAGTGACTACTCATATGACTCTTGCTTTTAATGCTTGCAAACTGAAAGCTCTTGCAAAGTAAAAGCTCTTGGTTTACCCAGCAGTTTCACAATGGATGACTTTTAAAAAATGCTTTCCTACCCTGTTAAAGCTTATCTTTGAGTGTAAAGGGTTCCCCCTTAAAATGAACCTGTGGCCTGGCTATAGACATTTAAATATTCACATATTCCTAAGCAACATATGACTTAAACTGACTGACACTGACCTCTGTAGCTGCAAACACTGTGAAACAATACATCCAAAATCTCTGCAGTGCAAGTAATCCTGAGAGAAAACCCAAAAGAACATACAAACACAGTACCAATTGTGTCTCTAGTGGCACGTAAACCCAGGGTTGATATGTCTTGCATACCAAGAGCACTGGCCGCTTAGCCACAACGCTTTCTTGTTTCTAAATCTTTAGGCCTTATTCAGACCCATTTATACTAATTCCACACGTTTCACTATGCATTGCCAAAATGCACAATAATCCTTAGGTTGGCATGAGTGATGCTGTTCAACATGCTCCCTTCACCTTGTACTGAAAAACTGTTCTCTATAGTGCAGCGATGGATCCAATGTGTTGCAATGTAACAGTTTTCTTTTAACAAAAAGGTCAACCCACCAAAATGTGATATTTTAGTTATAAGTGGATATGGGTGTTCTGAATCAGCCCCTTATGTCTTAGATACTCCAACAGTCAGATCCTGCTGCCATAATTAAAATCTAACAGGGTTATCCACAAAAGAGTGAAGAGTTTGGAGAAGGCAGGAGAAGTGAACAATCTAGGACAACATAGCTGAACTGGAAAGTGAGCTGAATTGGATAATTGTTCAAAATCAGCTATGTCGTCCTAGATTGTTCTCTTCTCCTGCCGTCTCCAAACCCTTCACCCTTTTGTGAATAACCCTGTTAAAGAGTTTTTGGTGTTCCCACCCTTTGCAGGTTTCAGCTCATCGTGTTACATTCTCCATCATATAAAAAATCAGTGGGAGTGGGTGCCCTTTAGAATGGCCACAAAAAACACCTTTACTTGTTGCACTCTTCACCGAAATTCCCTTGTAATGGGGTGGTTGCTCGCAGTGACTGCGGATGGCGCCGCAAACATCAGAAATATATAGAAATGTCGCCAGCACACCAAATCCTTTTAGGATAGCAAAATGTTTATTTATTTGCAGTTCCTTGTCAGAAAAACAAGCAATTTCAGGACCACGTAGGGTCCCTTCATCAGGCTTAGCATTGAACATTTTGCTATCCTGTGCTGGTGACATTTTGGTGTGCTGGTGACATTAGAATGGTCACAGACACAGGAATTCAAGATAAGAGATTTCAAAAATTAGATCCCCAATGTTTTAACTCTCCAACATTTACCAAAAACAGAAATATACATTTTTGGGTGAACACACCCTTTAATATACTGTAGCATTGTAAATACCTGTCCAAAGCCAACATACATCTTGGATGGCATTCATTACTGATTCCTTTATAAATTGCCTTACTTATTTTGGAAAATACATTGAAGAGTCAGCCATTTATTCTGTTAGCTGCAATGTTCTGAAAAATGTTTTCATTATTAACAGCAGTCATAAAACACAGAAACTGAAAAGTAGGCTTTTT